CTGGCCCCACAAGTTATTTGTTGTTTATCTGAAATTCATAACTGGGCATTCTGTATTTGACTTAGCAACCCTAATAAGAGGGCTCTGGTACCACTGGCATCCCTGCAAAAGCCACTCCTTGAGTCTAGAATGGGAAGAGGGATCACTGTTCCTCAGATGGGCACAGAATAGACAAGAGGTTGTAGTGAAAAAGACACTGTATATGTAATTAGTCCACACTGGAGTTTCTGTCCCCGAACTTATAAAATGCATGAGCATGGGCACCTAGCTCGGGCCACCTATAAGCAAGGCAGGCAACATCCTTCACAAACAACTCTGCTGGCCTCCTACGCAGCCTCCTTATGAGCTTCCACCCCTTCTTTCTTCACGGGCAAACCGCTGTGCATCCTTTAGCATGCAGCTGGTGCCACCACGGCAGTGAGGTCTTCAGACTCCTAGCTCCTAGTACTTCAGAAAGGCTCTGCCCCATTGGCACATCTGTCTCCACCACTAGACTCAGAGTTTCAGAAAGAGAGGGGTGAGCAGAGGCAAGAAATGGCTAGGCAGATGGGTTGTGGGAAAGAGAGGGCCTGGAACTCCAAGGCAAGAGTGAGTATGATGTAAAGTTAGTGGATAGGTCAGCAGCGGCCAATTCCGGCCTGACACTGCACCAGGGAGGAAAAGCAGGCTGCAGCATTAAGAACACCGAACACTAACACCCAGTGTCGGTGCTGCTGGGAAGAAATGGACACTCAACTGTAAATGATTCTAAGGGAGAAAACAATTTGGTTCTACTATGAAAAAGCTTTGATTTCTCTGGCTGAGTGTGGTGGCTCATGCCTGTAATCCCGCCACTTCAGGAGGCTGAGGCAGAATCACTTGAGCTCAGGAGTTCGAGACCAGCCTGGGCAATGTGGTGAAACCCTGTTTTTACAAAAAGTACAAAAATCAGCCAAGCATGATGATGCGTGCTCCAACTCAAAAGGCTGGGGTGAGAAGATCACCTGAGCCCAGGAAGTTGAGGCTTCAGTGAGCTTTGATAATGCTACTGCACCCCAGCTTGAATGTCAGAGCGAGACCCTGTCTCAAAAACAAACAAAGAAACAAAAAACCACTTAGATTTCTACGATACTCTTGGGTTATACCAACCAACTTCAAGGAAATTATCTTTAGGAAATAACTATTTTTTGTATGTACAAAGATTTGGTTATAGCAGTGTTTTTTTAAAAAAGTCTCAGAAAACAGAACTTAAATGACCACAAATAGGATCTTGATTAAATAACTCTGGTACTGTTATAGAAGTGCAATATTATGCGGTCATTAAATGTTATCCTACGGAATTTTGATCACTGTAGAAAAGCAGTCACGATGTGTTAGATGAAGAAGCAGATTATGAAACGGTGTGGACAACAGGATTCCCCATCTGTATCGGTCCATTCTCCCATTGCCATAAAGAAATACTTGAAATTGAGTAATTTATAAAGAAAAGAGGTTTAATTGGTTCACGGTTCTGTAGGCTGTACAGGAAGCACAGCGGCTCCTGCTTCTGGGAGGCCTCAGAAAGCTTCCAATAATGGTGGAAGGCAAAGGAGGAGCGAGGCATCTCACATGGTGGGAGCGGGAGCAAGGGCAGGAGAGGCGCTTTACACTTTTTAAACAACCAGATCTCATGAGACTTACTGTCATGAGAACAGCACCAAGAGGATGGGGCTAAGCTATTCATGAGAAATCCACCCCCAAGATACAACCACCTCCCCGCCAGGCCCCACTGCCAACACTGGGAATGACAACTGAACATGAGATTTGGTGGGGACACAGATCCAAACCATATCACCATCTCACCTGCCTTTTTTTTTTTCTTTAAAGAAAACTCCATTGATGTAGAAATAAGTTTGCAAGGATGTATGCAAAATGGTATAGTGGTTATCTTTAGGTGAGGGAGATTATAGAAGATTTTAATTTTATATTGTTTTCTATATGTTCTACATTTAAAAATAATTATAACTTTAGAAAACAAAATATGTAAAAATACGCAAAATATAATACATATAATTTCAAATGCTGCTTAATCTAACCAGCCCTCTCAAAAGATTTAAAGAAATGAAAAAAAAAAAAAAAACCTCATCACTGAAAAACCAATGCAAAGGCCAACTTACACAGCTCTATGAAAATGCTATATGATAAGACTAGGAAAGAGAAGCACATTGGGAAAATCTATGAGAAAAAATAAGAACGATTCCTTTTTCTCTTTTTCCGTCAGTTTCTAACTGTGCACATTTATTTAGTGCCTGGGCTGTGTGAGGCACTTTGCATATGAATTATTATTGTGTTTCGTCCTCACAGCAACCTTGAGGCTTGGAGGTCACCAGCCAGTCACAGTGGGGCTGGAGTTGGGATTGGGACCAGGGGGCCAGACTAGGGGCTGCCCTCAAAACTGCCAGAGTAAGAGGGATCCTGGGGTAAAAGGGACCCAAAGATACTATCTTTGTTGATTCAAAAATTTTAAAGCAGTGCATAGGCCTGCACATTTAACAGAAGAATATTTTTCTTTTCTTTTTTTTCTTTTTGAGACAGGGTCTCACTCTGTTACCAAGGCTGGAGAGCATTGATGAGATTTCGGCTCACTGCAGCCTTGATCTCCTGGGTTCAAGCAATCCCCCCACCTCAGCCCTCTGAGTAGCTGGGAATATAGACACGAGCTACCACGCCCAGCTAATTTTTATATTTTTAGTAGAGACCAGGTTTCACCATGTTGCCCAGGCTGGTCTCGAACTCCTGGATTCAAGCGATTCTCCTGACTTGGCCTCCCAAAATACTGGGATTAGAGGCATGAGCCACCGCACCTGACCAGGAACATTTTTCATCCATCTCTTTATCACCTGTGGGCAAAAACTGAGAAGTGGATAACCCTTTATTCTATAGATGCCACACAGTCTAAAAATCATTACCTAAAATCTTTACCAAACTGGAAATGAGGAAAACAACAGTTTCCCAATGTAGGGCAAAGTTGATGAAATTCTGTAGAGCATTTTCAGTATCCCTCAAAAGCCTTAAAAGGATACCCCAATGCTTAAAATAAAGATACATTTGATTGGGAAGACTTTCTTATTTTCCTTTTCAGGAAGTCCTGAGTAGAACCACATTCAAATACCCTGTGTATGATCATGTCCTGAAAAACTCGCCAGCAATACACAGTGGCTCCAAATGATGGCACTGGTACACAGTTCAGCAAATGTGTACCTGCTAGTGCCCCTTTCAAGGAGTGAGGACCTTATGGGTTTGATTAAGAACTGCCGTGTCTCGCAAATTTTGTCAGAAGCAAAAGTCTGATGCTTAAGACATTTTACAGTGAGGACTTACTATCGTCATGTATACAGCACTTTTTATGGGGCTTCAAAAAACAGCTCTAACACAGAACGGGAAAGTCTAATCCAATCTTGGTATTTTATAGGCCACACCTGCTGTAACTTTTGGTAAGCCTCTTTTCTGGTTATACTAAGGCTCAACTTTCACATGATTTATTCCAGTTCCAGGTCGTGGTGACCTGTGAAAAATCTTTAGCCAATTATGTGTAGAATCACCATTAAGCTTCAGTACTGCCATATAGTATTCTAATGCTTCTTCTTTATACCAGGAGTAAAATACAATGAAAGGTGTATTATCAGTTTTGTTCTTTAAAAACTTGAGCCCTGGAGTTAATATATGTGGACTCTGGTCCTTGCCAGTTCACTCTGTTTTTATGGGCCAACCTTGTCCATGTCAGGCAGTAGTGAGGACTTCAGGGACAATTTCCAAAGTAAACAGTTTTATCTTAGGAGAATCCTGGGGGTTAGCAAGAAATTTTTGGAAGTATTTTTGGCTAATTGGCTGTGCTTCCAGGTGATCCCCCCATCACACCCTTCCAAGCACCCCAATACCACCCATCTTCCATTCCATATGGTGAAGCAAAAGCCCTCAGCAGCACTTCTAATCTGATTTCCGAGCACCCACCAGCTAGGTGTTGTCTCCATTCTTTTAAATGGATGAACAAACAGGGTCAGGGAAGTATGTGACCGGACCAAAGTCACACAAAGCCAGGACAAGAACCCAAGTCTTCTGTTTCCTGTTCGCATTCTTTTCACTAGGACTGCTTTCTAGATTTTAAAATTTTAGGGTAAAAAGAACCTTGGGATAATCATTTAGTCCAATCCCTTGTCTAAAAGACCCTCAGGTGCAAAAAAGAAACTGATCTATATAGAGTCAAACATCTAGTCACAAGGACATCATCTGAGGTTTCCTGGTGGCCAGAAAATAATATTCTCCTGGCAAAATAAGGATAAAAACAGTTACAAAATCACCAACAGTTAGGGCCTAATAGATTTCCAAAGTTCATGTATGGCAAGAGTTAAACGACAACTTCCAGGCTCAAGGAATGCGTCTATAAGAGAATGAGATCAGAGGCGGCATGCTGGCAGCTGGAATTTGGCCTGGAGACATGGTTGGTTTGGCCTGCAAGTGCTGGCCGTAAATGTGAAGTCAGCCAATGCTGGAAAAAAAATTGAGATATTTAACATAAAAAACAAAATCCAAGCCGGGCATGGTGGCTCACACTTATCATACCAGCACTTTCAGAGGCCGAGATGGGAGGATCGCTTGAGCTCAGGAATTCAAGACCAGCCCAGGCAACATAGTGAGATGTCATCGCTTAAAGAAATAAAATCCAGATTTCTGGCTTTTCTTGAAAAAATCTAAAGGTCTGATATGCCTGCACCCACATCCCTACCCCAACCAATCAGCCAGAGCTGAGTAAAGGCTGCCTCTTGGGAGGTGGCACCTGTTCCCTGGCTCTCCACTGTCTCCACCGCTCCTCCAGGTCTCCCTGACCCTGAGGCCATGCGTGCCTCTCTCCCCTGCATTACCTGGCCCTGCTCCCATTTAGAGACTTTGTCTCCACTGGCCTAGAGGAGGCCATGGACTTTTAAACTTTCAACTGTTTTGTCTAATCTGACTTGGTTTGATTTATGTATTTATTTATTTTTTAGGAACACAGACATTGTCTCAATTCAACCACAGTGAAGACTTGTCTGGCTGAGGATTTCAAATTCCATAATGATTTGGAGATACGCTACTAGAAACTTTCAGTGAGGACAAAGAAAAGTTATCATAGTGTAAGAAGGATAGAGTGGATTAGTATTTCTCACAGTTGGGGAGAGAAATACTTGGCTAATATCAAAATATGCCATTGGGTGGTAAATAGACTATGTCATTGACACAAATGTGTCAACCTTCACTTCTCCCCCTAAGCCCACACACTGAAGGGGTGAGTTTAAGTCTGAGAACAGGATGTCAAAAGTTTCCAGGCATGGAACAAGCCATAGAATGGATTAAATAAATACCCCAAGTGGAAGAAAGCCATACACTATTAGACATTCCTTTTTTTTTTTTTTTTTTTTTTTTTGAGATAGAGTCTTGCTCAGTCACCTAGGCTGGAGTGCAGTGGCACGATCTCGGAACTGTTAGGCCCTAACTGCAACTTCCACCTCCTGGGTTCAAGTGATTCTTCTGCCTCAGCCTCCTGAGTAGCTGGGATTACAGGTGCCCACCATCACGCCTGGCTAATTTTTGTATTTTTAGTAGAGACGAGGTTTCACCATGTTGTCCAGGCTGGTTCTCAAACTCCTGACGTCAGGTGATCTGCCTGCCTCAGCCTCCCAAAGTTCTGGGATTACAGGCATGAGACACCACCCAAATATCTGAACTAATAATGCACCTGGTTCCCTGTTATCAAAGCTGCTGGCCGAACTCTAGGCTTTAATTAATTACCCTACACATACTTAGGGTAGCTATTTGGCAATACATCCATTTTTTGCCTAACTGAAGCAGTCTAAAGATGTGATGATATTCCACAAAATACTAGGTTTGTAGGTCCCCCCCTATTTTTCCTACCCTACATGCCCTACAAAATTCCTGCCAATGAATTTCCTAGTGAGTATGTATGTTGTCATTTTGGGATGGTCCCATCAGAAGCCCATCTGGTGAACTCATAGAACCAGATGGTTTTGTTACTGGTGTCAACCTTGAGTTATGATTCAGAATGTTGGAGTATACACTCAGATTCAAAATCCCTGTAGGACAAAAGATCTGTGCCTTTGAGATGCAGGTGCATGGACTGGTCCACTTACTAGCTGTGTGATTTGACAAGTCACTTCACACTTAACCACTCTGTAGGCATGAGTTTCCTCATCTGCAAAAAAAAAAAAGGCAAACTAATAAAAGCCGACCCCTACCGAAGCAGTTGGCAGACAGAGAGCATCCAATAACATCCAGATAGCCTCTCTTCTTTTCTTGGAACGCTAGAAGCTACAGGTTCTCGGAAGTCAAGCAGTCACATCTCTCATTTACAGATGAGGAAATCAAGGCCCCAAGAGGTGGTCTTTCAAGCAAACAGTGGCAGTGCCAGGCAGCTCTTGAGATGTGGGCTCTGGTACTTTATTCAACATTGTTTTTTTTCACATGAGCCAGCCCATGAGAGATTCTGAGAGCAGGTGGGGACAGTGAAAAGGCAGTCCCCATAATTTCTAGGAGCCTCAAACTGTAGGCCAAAGGGCTAGGAAAACAGACCAACCTTGTTTTAAGTTTGATACAGGCCTTACCACTGACTGTTGTTCCTCATCCCCTATAGCTAACACATCTTGGTTGGTTGCTGGGCTTATGTATACATTCAAGTTTGGTTTATCCAGACTAACTGGCTGAGCTGCCCTGCCAATAGTTTCGATTATTGATCAACCAAAGGTGAGGCATGCATGCTCCAGCTTTATACAACTCACACACATACACACACAAAAGCATCCCCAAGATCACATTCTAAGCTTGGTTCCTGGTCTGTAGGAGAATGGTTGACCCTTTTACATTTCAGCTTGCAAAGTAATGGCTTTGCCCAAGTGCATTCTTATAGAGACTCAGAAAATCACTGACATGTACAGAAAGGCTGAGAACCCCCAATTCCCAGAACTACTCTTCAAGATTGATTTCACTAGCCTGTCACACGTTAGGAAAGAACATATGCTTTCATAGGAACCAGAGTTCTAGATCCTGAAAGTGAAACTTCATGCTCCATATAGCATAACTGTTTCCTTCCCCTTCTCTTGGGAATAGCATGATTCTATTATGAGGTTGCGTTTTAAAAACAAATTATGGATTACTGACTAATACCAAATGCTCATTTGTGAACTATAACTCACCTAAAGCCATTTCTTCTATTAGCCACTGCAGGTTTAAGGGAAAGTAATGGGGTGAGAAAATGACTCCCCAGAAATCCTGTGGGGCATCCCCCACCCCTACAATATATCTCAGACATCAAATAGCCACTCTATGTTAACTACCACCAAACCTTTTCCAACCACTAGTTTGTCACCTTTTTCACAAACCTAAGACAACTATGCAAATACTTTAAACTCTGAGAAACTGGGCTGAGTGAATTAGTAAGCATTATATGAGGAGAGGTTGAAAGCAATTTATTAAGGTTGCCTGAAACACCATAGTCCAAACACTGATTCAAACCCTTATTTAAATATGCTATTTTAAACTTGATTTGCGGCAAGGCAGCAGACCAAATTATATCACTCATTTTACTGACCTGAGTCCCAAGCCTGAATTCTCTGGTGGATTATTTTTAATTTAAAAATGAGCTCTTGTCCTATAAATAAGCAGCACCAAGGAGAAATGCAAGACAGCCTAAATGGCCCAAGAGGCAGAGCAAGTAACTTGCACAAAAAAACTGGAAAGTATTAATGACATTATTTCCACTTCTAATTTCAGAAAATGAACTTTCCAGATTTTAATGAAGTAATGTAGACAAGTAGGTCTGTGAAATTGCTCCTGAAGGTTTCCACATAATAGCTGCAGATAAACAAATGTTATAACATGACCACACAATGCAATACCATGCAGCCATTTAAAATACAATGAAGTTGACTGGGTTTCAGATAGAGAGAAATATGTGTGATAATATGAATTTAAAAACAGCAAGTTGCAGATGCCATTTCTGGAGAAAAACTTGTATCTCTGTGTGGGTATTAAAAAAACCTCCCTGACATACACTGACATCTATGATTCTATATTTAGCTGCGAGGGTGTATGTGTATATATATAGTTTTAAAAGATACACATTAAACCTAACAATGGTGGGACAGGACAGGAGAGGTCCTGGCCTTTCATTTTACTTCTTGTCTTAGTGGTTTGCATTTTTCGCAAGGGCACTGAAAACTTTTTACATTAAATAAAAAATGAAGTGATGAGCTTTAAACAACTCTAACAACTGCTCTTGAATGCGCTTGTTAATTTCTTGATTGACTGTTTTCACCCCACTAAATACAAAAACGCAGCCACAACTCCTCAATCCTTCCCAGTCCTTGGAAGGCTAGGAGAGAAAAAGGCGTGGCTTGCAGGGTTTTCTTGTAGCTGGAGGAAAACAGGCTGTAGGGGTCCTTTTTTTAGCTACACTCTGGAGAGCTCCCACGTGTCAGGGGTGCGCAGAAGAGAGGTGCGGGGTGCAGGACTCCAGTATCAATTCAGCCACGCCAAAGGCTGGTAAAGGGTGCGTTTAGCTTGCCCGTTTCCTCCCTCCTCAATCCCCACAGTCAGTTTCTCGGTCCAAGTTTTACTGGTGTGGCCCATCCCTACCAAATGTACCCGAATACACATCTGCAGAGGACTCGGGCATTGGGGCGGGTGAGCTAAAATGTTCTAATGACCAGCGAATGCCGATTAATCTGGGGTCAGTAATCGGTAAATGTCAACCCAGAGCTACTCCTTTCAAAGTGAGCTTGAGGGAGGGTGGACGAAGTGTAAACAACATTTTTTTTTTTTTTTTTTTAGGAGAGATGCTGACCGCCTCTCTGGGCCTGAGAGTGGGCTGGAGAATACCGGAGTCCCTGAGGTCACCGGCGGAGGTGCGCGGGCTGTCCCTGGACTTACCTTACAGGGAAACAGGACTGCTGAGGCCACCTTCTCCATAGCCAGGTTCCTGATGCTGGGCGTCAGGGCGCCCCTGCACGTCGGGCAGCAGCTCAACTTCTGGCGGCATTGGTTACACACCAGGTGCCCAGCCTGGCACTGCAGGATAGGAGGCAGGACATAGTCAAAGCAGACCGGACACTCGAAGAGCGAGGTCAGCTCGTGGTGCTGCGGGGACACCGGGCCGGCCCCGCCGCCACCGCCGGGGCCCGAGATCACCGCCGCCGCGGCGGGCACCGCGGACGAGCCGGGGCCCGCAGCCGAGATGGTGGCGGCGGCCGGGGGCGCAGCCGGGGATGGAGTGTGCTGGGGCTGCGGCGGCGGCTGCTTGCTGCACGGTTTATTAGCGCTGGGGCCGGTGGAGGACGGGCGGCTCATCGCGCTCCGAACCAACCATGGAACTGCGGGCGCCTGCCTGCCGCGGGGCCGCCCAGGTCAAGGCGGTGCGCGCCCCGCGGGCAGAGAGCTCTGAGGCAACGCCACGGCGCCCAGCCCAAGTCCGCGCGGCGGAGACGCTTGGCGCGCGGGAGGCGGAGGGTTGGACCGCGCCGATGCCCTCCGCAGCCCCCGGAGTTCCGAACACGCCTCCGCGTCGGACCCCTCGTGGTGCCCTCCTCCCGGCGCGGCGTCTCGGGCCCCGAACCCAAGCGGTGCGCAAAGATCCCTGGCCCACCCGCTTCTGGAGCGGCCGCTGACGCAAGCCCCGGGGGCGCGCGCGGACGTGACGCCTGGACACGTGTGCGGCCGCCCAGGCGCGCGGGGACTGGCAGAGCCACCCTGCGCCGGGGCGCTGGCTCCGCCCGGCTCCAGCTGGCAGCGCAGGGGGCCGCCTAGCGCCGGCGCTTCCTGCTCAGGCTGCGGGCCGGGCCTGCGCCAGTGAGCATGCCTAGATTGCCGCAGCCTCGCGGGGTTGTGTTTTCCAGATTGGGGAGGGGGCCACCCTCGGGAAGGCGTCGCCGAAGTCCTTTGGCCACACCCCGGGGTGCCTGGCCGACGCGTCCCTCCGATCAGACTGGAAGGGCAACTTCTGGCAGGGCGTGAGCGTGGATGGTGGGTGGGACCGGACGCGGGCGGGCAGGGGCGGGGCGCGGGCGCCCCTGCACTGGTCGGAAAAAACCGAGAGGTGTCTCTTGGGGTTGATTCATCAGCGCGCAACAGAGGAGGGCGACGCTGCCTCCCGGATTCTGTGTTCGGAGTCAGGACGAGAAGCATTGGGCGGGAGCGGGCAAGGGGCTCGAGTTGGGTCTGCAGTGGGCATAGGACCTAGTTTTGTACACTTAACGGTGGGTTTGAGTAAAGGGGGGGCGGTGGGAAGGAAGGAAGTTCCCTTTATTCCTTTCCCAACGGACCTGAAGGAGGCTTCATTGAATTGAGCGCCCCTGGCTTGTATAGCAGGAGGAGGAGGCATTTCATGGACAGCGTTGGCTGAGAGTTCGAGA